ATATAGATATGTATGTATATATATATATATATATATATATATATATATATATATATATAGATATGTATGTATATGTATATATATATATATATATATATATATATATATATATATATATATATATATATATATATATATATATATATATATATATATATATATATATATATATATATATATGTTTATATATCAGCAACAAGATGTTTAAAAGCAATTCGTAGAATTAAGTTAAAATCAGTTTTTCCAAATGCTGACATTGCATATTGGATTTTTCTAACTCTTTCCATAACCAATTATAGCGCAGAGCGAGTTTTTTTGGCAAGAGTTAAGATGGATCTTCGTTCCTCAATGATAAATTGACGTTTAAATTCTTTTTGTTTCATGACAATTGATAGAACTCTGTTACAAAGTATAAATTTTGAAGATGTCATAGTTGACTTCTTTAAAAGATGCCAATTTAAAAGCAAGAAAAAAATTTTATGAATAAAAAAGCAATCATATGCATGCTGCATTCGTTTTTGAATATACATTTTTAGGAATTAGCTCCCAAATAATTTTTGCACCCGACCCCCAAGACTTATAATCCGGTCTTGAGTGTGGCTATATGCTACGTTAGCACCAATTTTCATCAAGTTATATGTACTGGTTCTCATTCAAATTCAAAAACTCACTTAATTTGAAGATGAAAATTAAATTATTTTTCGCGGACAAAATTGAAGGATTTTAAAATTTGCATCACACGATATCTTGATCACCCCATAAAAGTGACGTTTTGGGGTCAGCTAGGTTGACATTATCAGATTCCTACTTAACTGAGTGAAAATATTTGACCATCAAAAATGTGTTTGAATTATGAACCTATTGAACGATTTTCGATGTTTATGTCTAATATTGAACATAACTCTTAGGAGCTTAAAGATGCCAATTGCTCACTGATTTTTAAATTCTCCTTGAAGATTGCTGTGATTAATTTTACGACAAATCTGCTAATATTTCGGGTTCATATACAGGGATAAAAGCTAGAATTAAAAAAGTAAATACTAATGTTGAATATATTTCTTGATTCGATTTAAAATTATACATTGTTCAACAAAACAGGTAAAGTTGTTTAATAAAATTACAAAATAGTAAAGTTGTTTAATAAAATTACCAACAATGAAGCAGCCATCGTAGGGCTTCCTTATTAAATTACGAGCTAATTTGAAAGGTTCAGTGACATGTTATATTAAATTAGCATTATTTGGTCTATGTTTAACCAAGATAAGTATGTGTTTATTGTTAACTTTTAAAGATACCAAACTTGTTTTAGAAAATTTTTTATAGAACTAATCAACTTTACGAAAGATAAATACATTAGAAATGAAGATAGCTACACTGCCACCTCGACGTTTGTCTTAGAAATTTTTTTTTTTAAAGAGAGTTATTCTTTTAATACAATATCTAATACTATTGTATTTTGCTTTAAAACATTATTTTAATAACTATTGTATTTTGCTTTAAAACATTACGACATCATACTTAACACCTAACTATATGTTTATGAGTTAATACAGTTTGCTTTTTTCTGAAATATGGCTCTCAGTTTATAAAGTGTTTTTTAGACCACACCATAAATATTCAGTGTCAAATATACAAATATATTTGTGTTTCTTCTTTTAAAACTGATAAAACCTTGGTTGAATCTATTCAACGCAAAGCAACAAAATGGACATCCAGCTTGAGGCATGCTTAATACTGTAAAAAACTAAGAAGATTGAATCTACCATCATTGATCAACTGTTTTGGTTAGAACAGCGATAAGCGTAGGGAGAAATTAGGCAGCAATAAGTTTGGGAGAAAAATTCCGCATTTTTTTCCGCAGTTTACACATTAAATATTTCCGCATTTTTGCATTTTACCCGTGTCTACAATAACAAATTATGATATGAGTTGTTCATTTAAAAATATAATACCAGCAATTATGTTATATTTGACATTACCCGTTAGCGTAGCAACTGCAAAAAGAGCCTGAAGCTCATTAAAACACATTTACGGACAAGAATGACGCAAATCTTTTTGTGTGCACCTAGACCTTAAGCTACTGAAGCAGAAATAGCAGCTCAATTAAATTAAAAAATTGCTATAGACCAATTTGCAGCTAAAAAGATTAGAAAAAACTTTCATTAGATTTTTTTTTAGTGTAACATACTGGTTTCTATTTTAAAAAAATCAAAATTGTATTAAAAATAAGGTTCTTGTTTTCATGTACAATTTTTGTCAATAAAAAGGAAATGAGAGTGAGGGAACAAAAAAGTAATTTAGGGGCCCGGATTAAAATTTTGCTGAAGAAGGCCTATTTTTTGTCGCTACGCTGCTGGTTGTATATTGTATGTTTCGTGCGCAATCACCACGCATTATTGTAATTTTTTTGTCGCATTTTTTGACAATACTTTCTAATTAGTAAATTTTTTGTTTCATAATCCTTTTAATTAAATCAGGTATAACGCGGTTTGCATTTTTTACATTAATTTTAATTTTGGAGCAGATAGTTTCCACCGGGTTAACGGATTGACACTAAACTGTACAAACCTCACGTAACAGCTGGTCTAGTGATGTTTCAAACACCCTTTTCAAAGAGTGAGGGTAGGACTATTATCTGCTCCAACAACCGAACCCTCTAAACGATTTCCCGATGTAACTCTCTGGTAATATCTACTCGTTACAAGAATCTGCATTAAATGTCCTTTACGAGTTTCTATAATGACAAAAAATAATTTTAGTATAACTGCAATCAAATATACGTTTAAATCTTTCGAAGCAGGTTTTTCATTTGTGGTCATCATCCTTGTCTAATGCTTTTTTTTACAAAAACCATCAAAATGTGTTTCATCCGACCAGACTATATCCCGAACAATTGTAATATGTTTGGTTATGTTCCTTACATATTTAACTCATTTTTGCTTGCTTTATAAATATTCACTAAAAAACGGTCCTTCTGCACTTTTTTTTTTATGAAAACAATCTTCATTCGAAATAATTGGCAAATGTTTTGTGCTGAATCTTATTCTAAATTTTTTTAATATCTTTATTTTAATGGTCACCAATGTCAATTGACAGTCACTTTCAATCCATGTTAACTTTTCTTTGATTGATCTTTGGTCAATTTAAATGGCTAAAAACCACCTTTTTGATGAAATTAGAATTTCCGCTGCAAACTCAATTATATAGGGGAACATGGGGTAAGATGACGAATTGGGCAAGATGACGACCTACCATTATCTATTAAGGAAAACTAAATATAACAGCTGACTTTAGCTTAAAGGGAAGTAGATTATATTTACTAGATTTATTAATGCTTTCTTTTTAAATATTATTTATGTGACGAAAGTTAAGTATTGAAAATGTTTTTCCAAAATTGAGAAAAATTTTTTTATCCTTGTTTGACTTGGTTTATTTCATCGCTACATCACCAGCTAAAGGTAAGCGATAAACTTTAATTTAGTTTGATTAATCTGGAAGCTATACAAGAAGTATTAGGCTATGATAACTTTTTGATGATGGTTATTGAGGCGTTTATAGCTGCATTTAGTTTTCTTTTTTTAAAGTCTTAAACTTTGTTAACTCAAATCGTCATCTTGCCCGTATGCGAGGCAAGATGACAATTTGAGTTAACATTGGTTAATGAGTTTTTCCTCAGCTATTTTTAACGTTTAGAGTGGTTTTTTGATGCATCAGTGACGTTGAATGACTTTTTATCACTTCTAAATCAATTTTTAATTCTTGGGACAGTTATTGAATAAGATATTGCCCCGTGTTCCCCTACTATCTTACATTTGACACCTAAAATGTGCGCCTGAGTCACCCGATCGTCATTTACCAACTCATCTTCTGCCATTTGATACATATCATGATTTCTTTATTACTACTTTCATGTTATCAATTACACCTTGAAATAATCAATTGAGCTCAAATACTTAAAAACAAAACAGTATCCAGTAAGCTAAATAACAAATAAACTTCTTCAATTTAAATATTTCAAGTTTAATGAAGAGGTAGTCTTGATGTATAGAGGTAGTCTTGATGTATAGAAATATACCAATACTTTGAATGTATATGCAGTGAGTTTCATTAGAAACAAAATAAAAATCGTTTCATCTTTTAGTTTTTGCGCGTTCTTTAGTTATTACTCTATAGAAGAAATCTAATTATATAAAAAGTGGAGCATCTCTGAAAATGAAACAAGGTAGAAACCTTGTTTAAAAAGTTATAGAAAGATCATTTATAACACATTTTTATATTGAAGTCAAAAAATGTTAAATAGAACATTTGTTTTTGGAAACATGTCTTTTGCATTTAATTAAACGCTTACTCTACTCTTAAGATAAGCATAAACCTATAAGAAATGTCTGCATATTCAATATTTTTTATTTAAAAAAAAAACGAATCTTTTAACGCCTACAATGAATTGTATAATAAATAATATACGTAAAGATTTTGGTCTACAATGTATTGTAAAGATTTTGGTCTGTAATAGATTGTATAATAAAAGCATCCGTAAATATTTTGGTTTTGTAGGTTACGGTATTGTAGGTATTACATAAATTTTAATTTGCATTCATTTATGTTATTTATATAATTAAGATTTTCTGATGTATGAGGAATTCACAAAAAAGTCCTAATTAGTAAAACTGTAACAAGTTATGGTGGAATATGGAATAAAGCAAGATTTGTATGCACTTTCTCGCAAAGTGCGGTCGTGGCGCAGTGGTTAGAGCGCTTGCTTCATAAGCAGGAGATCCAGGTCCGAAATGAGCTCTGGATATATTTTCGCGTCACGGTAAGGAGGTAGGCGTGAAATTCCTGGTTAAATGCACTTCCGCGGTGCTCTATGACAAGACCGTTAGGTCTCCTTGTGGCACCTAAAGAACAAAACAAAACAAAACAAAATTAAGATAAACTCATAACAATAGGTCCTCCTCTAGTGATACCCTGTATTGAAACTTGAAGAAAAAAAGACACAATTACTTTAAATCATTTTTATTTATATGCTTATAAGTTTACAATACTTTTTTTATTACATTTCCTGAGTATAGCAGAGATCTTCAGGAGTTTGTGAATACTTGATGAAACACAGCCAAGATCAAGATTACAAATTTTACACCAGTCACATCTTATCATGGTTCTTGAAGACAAAAACAAAATATACCAGTCACATCTTATCATGGTACTTGAAAGAAAAAACAAACAATAATATACCAAGCAATAATTAATAATAAAAAAAAAAAGTATAACTTATTAATACTTGATTGGTATGGTTATTTAATACTTGTTTGGTAGGATGAAATTGAAATAGCTTAAAAAAATCTTTTAACAATTTCAAATTCAAGTGTTATATAACATATTACTTAGTCATATTTTTTTTGGCGTCATCTTTTTTATTATTATTATTAAGCTTTCCTCATTAATAAAAAGAATCTACGACTTTAACAAATAAAAGAGCCTTTATTAAAATAAATAAGCGTAATAAATAAATGATTTAATGATAATTGCCCGAATGTCTACAAATAATTATATAGCCTGTAAACTAAATTATTAGAACGCCTTTCCTAGTGTCTGTCAATAAAAATAAAATATCAAAGGAAAATCTCTACTTTGCTTTTTGTCATTTTACACTTTATAAGTCGAAACAAAACAATCTAAAAGAACTTTAGACGCCACCAGGTCGCCGCCAAAACCAACATATGTGACCTCAGTTTTATTTACTTAAAATAAAAAGAAAGACGAATTATTAATTAATGACGACTTGTTGATTATTAATCTATTTTAGCAAAAGATTATTAGTATTATTCTATGTAAACGATCAAAAAACGCATTAATCTTTTTTCTTAAACCCATTAATCTTTTTTCTTAGAATTCTTTTAACTTAAACCTTTTAATAGAATTACAAATTTCAATTGTTGGTTGAAGAGCAACATCAAAAATAAAACTCAAAAAATTTCAAAATAAACTTTCAACAAAATTCATAAAATTTTTTAAGAAAATAAAATTAAAAGTTGAAAATAAAATTGCATTTTTGAAGTAAATAAAATTTTCCTGTTGCAATTTCTTTCTACAACAAAAAAGTTCCCAACATTTTAAAAAACATTTAGAAGACCTTTTTGAAAACGATTAACGATCTGCATTACAACTCTTTACATCTAATTTTTTTTCAAATGAGACAAATTAAATTTAAAATAATTGAGATGTTATTTAATCTAAAAAGAATAAAAGTAATAATAAAAAAAATGCCTTACAATTGCCATGTCTACCTTAAAGTTTTGGAAAAGCAAGAGAAGCTTTTGGATAGGTGAGAGAAGCAAAAACTTCTCATTTTTTAAAGAGTTTTTCTTTTTCCTTTTTCTGGAGTAAATCTATTTGTTTAGAATTTTTGTTTTTGCAGAAAAATGTATGGAAAGGCAAAAAAATAAGTTTTATAGAAAGTCCATACTTTTAGATGCAGGGGGTTGATTTAATTTTAAAGCCACAGGCCTGATAATGAATTTGAGAAGTTAAAATATTTTATAAAAAATGATAAAGACTCACAACATTTAGTTAAGACGAACTTAAAGTAAAATAGGTTGACACCTGGTTATATGGCATATACGCATTGACACACACACAAACTTACCGCTTATATATATATATATATATATATATATATATATATATATATATATATATATATATATATATATATATATATATATATATATATATATATTATATATATATATATATATATACATTTTATTTGTTTAAAACTTACCTAAAGACTTTTTTTCTAAGACATAAAGGAAATATATAAAAATACATCTGCGCAATAAACAGATTTTGCAAAATGTATAACGCTTGTCAATAAATGGTTTAGAGCTTAAAATAAGAAACTAAAATTCTTAAAACGTAATAACATTAAAACCAAATGTTGGCTAAGAACTCACTCACTAAGAACTCTTATCATTATGTAAAGAGACTACTACAAGGGATTTAAATTACAAACAGAAAAATAATGAAAGTGCAATACAAATTTATTAAACAATTTATGTACAAATATAAAAACAAAAATTTACGCTGACTAAAAAAAATAACAAGCACAATAAAAAATAAGAAAGAAAAGCTACAGTTTCTTATAAACATCTTATATTCATTTATGTATAATACTATCTCTATTTCATTTATATGTATATATACGTATATACATACTTTTTATACAGATCCATCTACTCTAAGTCAAGGGTTCATGTGTGTATGTGTATATTTCATATAAGAATATACATGTATATGAAATATATATGTATACATATTTAATATACAAATATATATATATATATATACACACACATATATATATATATACGCATATGTATAAATGTATATATAAATGTATATCACATTTACACTTTATGTAATACATCTACATGTCGTAAGATTTCTACATTTATCTCTAATTCTAAGTTGATATGATTGATATTCATAGATTATTAGGCAATGAAAACCATCAGCCGTAAGTCTGCAACAACTAGGTAATGCATTCTCTCATATCATGTTAATAATATGTTTTTTTTAATCTTGTTTTTATAAAACATTTAATGAACAGAAAACTTCATTCTTTTTTTCTTTTGCCTTTGGTTACAAAACCAAACGCGGACAACATTTTTAGATAAGTCTAATTTTTCAGCTATAGCGGCAATTTTATCGCTCGAAGGTCTGGGTTGCATTGCAAAGTATGCCTCAAGCGATCGTTTTTCGGCCGCACCTATAGAAGTGCGTTTCCTTTTTTTATCAGCATTTGGTAAAAATGCACTGTCTTTAGATTTCATACGGTTTGCACGTTCTGCCTCATCTAACCAAGCCGATAAAACAGGCTTTAGAGCCATCATGTTATTATGGCTTAGCGTAAGAGATTCAAACCGACATATAGTAGACTGACTTAAGGATCCCACACCTGGAAGTTTTAAGTGTGCGAGAGCTGTACCAACATCCGCTTGAGTAACTCCTAGTTTAATACGTCTTTGTTTAAAGCGTTCTGCAAACCATTCTAATTCTCGTGGTGTACATTCAACCTCTTGGCCAACTTGAGCCGCTGCGGCTGCGGCTGCAGCCGCAGCTGCGGCAGCAGCAAAAGAATTGTTGAAACTGCTAAAATTTGGATTGTTAAATGAAGTAGAAAATGAAGTTGAAGATGGAGACAGTAAATGACTTGTTGAGTAATTGTTTGTGTTCGATGATATTGCTGTGGAATGATGCTCATAAGAGTTTTCATTCGCATTCGGTTGAAGAGAAGCTGATATTTGATCTAAGATATCGTGGGGATCGTATTGAGTAGGGTCTTGATTTGCATGAAGACTATGTAGAAAAGCACTTGGTAACTTTGAACCACCGCTTTGTTTTGGCAAATATTTTGACATTGAGTCTATTTGAGATCCCAATAAATGGGAGTCGTCCATGTTGTCAAACATGTTTGAAACCTAAAACAACAACAACTTTGTTAAACTTTAATTTTAAAACTTTTTAGTTTTGTTTAAAAAATTGATAAAACAAATGTGTTTAAATTTTCTAAGTATTTAAAACTTAAATTTTTATATATTTATAGAAGACATTTAAAATATTAATAATATTAAAACACTAAAATGATAGAATTAAAAGTTACTCCGTATCCTTTAACATGAGAAAACATCGTTGGTAAATAGATCGTTAAGAAAAAAAATCAAAAAAAACGTGAGCGCATCTTGAGTATGAAGTTTGTTATTAAATGATTCGACTTAAAAGCGAAAGAGTTAGAGCTAGTTATTGGTTGCGCGTCGTCTTAAATCAATTGAAATAATATAAATTTTTAATGAAAGAACTTTTATTTGAATGTTTCTAGCTAGCGTTTTTCAAACGAACTCCTACCGAAGCGTTTAGCAAAAAAAAAAAGCGTTAAAACAAAAAATAGTGTGGTTATACTATTTGAAAAAAAAAACACAAAATATAAAGAGATGAATTTAACTAATGTTTTAAACTAAACGTCGGCAAACTTTGGGCATATTTTTTTGGGCTACAAAAACAACGTTTAACAGCTTAAGGTTACAGACAACGCAAATATGCAACGCATTTTTGTTGTTGCAGTTGCAAAATATAAATATTTTGGAAATAAAAGATCGGCAAAGCCGGTATACGAGAAATTAATTTATCACAATAGCTATAACTGTTCATTAAACGACACATAAAATATTGATGGACCTTTTTTCTTATCTTGTTAATAATATAAAGATGAGCTAACGATGAATTAATAAATATAAGTAAATAAATAAAATATATTTAAAGCAAATAAACCAACCTGAGATGCAAGATTGCTATGAGACATAGATCCATTGTGCAGCAGTGACGGTGGACCACGAGAACTGTTAAGTCCTCCCAAACTCTTTGATAAAAAATCCCTATCTAAGTTCTCAGCAGAAAATAAATGAGACATGACTTATTTCCAATTAAAAAAAAAACTTTTTTTTCTCACAACTCAATAAATTCATGAATTAGAGCGCGTTTCAAATTTGCAGCGCTCTTCAAAGTACTAGCTTTGAGAAAAATACAAACGAAAACTAGTACCACCTGCATCGATGAACATAGAAGCTCAAATAAATCTTTTAATGCGCATGCGCGCACTCCGCAGATGGCTTTTTCCGTTCAGATTGTATAACCAATCATGAATTTGACATATTGAAGTTTTTGAATTTGTAAATTCGTAAAGAAAACTTTTTTTTTTAAATTAAGAAGCAAAAAAGCTCGTCAAAGTAAAATTAGATATTATGATATAAAATCTACTAAAATTAGGGGCCCCATAAACCTTTAGAAAAACATGAATAATTCTTGGATTACGTTCTAAATGTGTTTTTTATTTTAACATACATATTCATAAATTGCTATTGGAAAAATGGGAGTGGTCAGCCAACTTTAGGAATCTTATGTTTTTAAAACTACTTTACAATATTAACTGATAATTTTTAATATGCGAAATAAAAAAATAAAACGTAATTTAAAAGGAGCCTGCTTTATTATTTATTGGTTGCACACTTAACCTTAAAAAACGAAATTTAAAATAGGTACGTTAATTATTCAAAGAAACCGAATAAAGTTTATAATTAATGAAAAGAGGCATTAAAACATGAAAATAAATCTCAAAAAAAATTCTTTATTAATTTTGTCAGTATTTTCTTATAAATATGACGTAACTGTGGCTATTAAAAATCCTTGGAAAAACAATAAAAAAAAAACGTGGCAAAAAATGGTCATGGAAAAAAAACGTGTTCTTCTTCTTTTAAAAGGTTATAGGTGTATTGTTATTTCAAGCAAGAAACATATGTCTTAAAAAAGACCTCGTTTGTCCTAGTGTTGCCCTAGTGTGAAGCTCACCGATAAAATCAATGAAATGAAATGTCATTGTTAACAAAAACAAAATTTAGTAAAACTTTCAGTGAACAGTTTGAAAATCGCGCGTATACCTGACAAAAAAGAAAAAAAAAAAAAAAACTCACATTGAATATAAAAAACTTTTGAAATAAAAGAATTAAAAAAAAAAAAAAAAAGAAACGGAGATAAAGATTTATAAACAATAAAAATAAAAATAAGCCACAAAATTAATTTGGAGATGAATAGAGAATAGATGCTCGAGAATTTTGAAGTTCAAAATATCTTAAATGAATTGAAAAAATCTACCACCTGCTTTTACGAAGAGTTTTCTCTCACAGCGATATTCACTTCATTCAACTATTCATTATTCAATCTCTTAAATACGGCGAACAATTAGGTTTGTTCGGGTTTAATTTAAAAGACCAACCGGTAAAACAAAACAAAAAAAGAAAGAAAAAAATGCAAGCGCGCATAAAGAGTTAAAAGCTCATTTTTTAAATTTATATAAAATATTTAATAACACACATTCGGCACGGATGATATATATATATATATATATATATATATATATATATATATATATATATATATATATATATATATATATATATATATATATATATATATATATATATATATATATATATATACACATATATATATATATATATATATATATATATATATATATATATATATATATATATATATATATATATATATATATATATATATATATACATATTTGTTTATGCTATATTTATAAATAAAACTATAAATATAATGTCAATAAAGTCCTAACAACAGTCTCTTAGAAACTTTCAGTATTACGACAACACAAACATTCTTTTTTTAAATTATATGCATGTATATTTTCATGTTCTTTTTTCATGTATATTTCTTGTTCTTTTTTCAAGGAAAAAAAAAGTAGAGTATTAAAAAATTTTAAGTTTAATTTTATATAACTGCTTTAAAATAAAATAGAAAAAATTTAATCTTAAATAACGGTTTTGAGATTTTTATTTTTACAAATTAAATATGTAAAAGCTCTCAATCTTTTTTTCTTATTTTTTATTTTATAAATATTTTGTTATTGTAACACAGCGCAGTCATTTTTATTATTATTATTTTTTTCCATATGAAAGTGTAGGGGCAGAAAAACTCTGTTTATATTGTAGTGAATAACAACCTTATCTCAAATAAAATTAAATAACTCTCCTTAATTTTGAAAGTGCGTATGTTTATATATATATATATATATATATATATATATATATATATATATATATATATATATATATATATATATATATATATATATATATATATATATATATATATATATATATATATATATATATATATATATATATATATATATATATATATATATATATATATATATATATATATACATATATTTAAGGTTTATAGGCGCCAAAAAATAGAAGATGTTCATATTTTTTCTTGTAAAAGTTTTGTTTATATTCCCTCCCATTTTGTAGACAGAGTAATACTCAACTGATTAGCTGTCTATTTCTTAAAAAAAAGAAGTGAAAAAAGGAAAAAGAAAAAAAAAAGTTACGATTCAAAAAATAAAAAAGAAAAGATTTTCATACTCTCATTGAAAAGTAACAAAAAGAAAACTTGCAAATAAACTTTAATCGCACTCGCTCCAAATGAACTTGTATCCATCATTTGTCCAATCTAAAATAGTTGTCACTAATCATGCTTTTTTTTCAATCAAATTAAAAACCTCTCCAAAATGTATTAAAAAATTTTTTTATAAAGGAAACGTTATAACTAGCAACAAGCACTTAGACCTTTCTCACAACCATCTCAGCCTTTGATCAAACTTTTATGTGGCATAAAAAAATTTATGAGTTTAAAAAGGCTGTTAACATTAAAAATAAACGAAGTAAAATTGAAAAACAAAGACTGACGTGTTTTTTTATTTATTTATGCATACCTCGAGTTGAAACTTATATGAAGAAATATAATATCAAATATTAAACAGCATAAAAAAGAATGAAATATTTAAGAAGATTAAAATCGCAGCTTTAATATTTTAATTTCAATAAAAAATAAAATGTAATAATAAAAAACAAAAATAAAACGTAATGAAAATAAAGTGCCTTTAAAACAGAAAAACTTTTTTTTAACTTTTTAGTAGTTTTCTTAACATATTTTTTCCGTTATAGTTACATCCTTTTTTTTTCAAACCCAACCTTTTTCATTTTTGAAAATTCCTCAGAAAAATAGTTAAATAATAAGTCAAATAGCGTACAGGTAGTGTGTGCATAAAGTTATGAAGTTTTTTTCTTGTCACTGATTTTTTGCTTGAAATTTTTTTACCAAAAACTTACAAAAAGTCGGTTTTAAGGTATCTTTAAGGACGCCACAGTTCATTGTTCGATTATTATAATTTTTTCAACAATTTTTAGAGACTACAATTTATTGCTTGGAAGAATTTCAAGTTGGCGTTTTAAAAGAACAAGTTGTGTGTGCGGAGTCTATTATTTCTCATTGTTATAAAAAATTATATAAATCGTCTTAAAAATTAAATGTTTAGAAATATTTAAAAATATGAACCGTGCTGCGCGTGCTAAATCCCGCTATCTACGATAAAACACGTTTGAAAAAAAAAAAATTCCACTGATTATTTTAAAATTGATTTTTCGCATTCGTATTAAATACACTGTCTTTTAAAACACAAGTAAACAAAAAAGTCTATTTTTTCAACTTCAATTATTAAATACAGCATTTTTTTTTTTTTTTTTGAAAAACGCTTTTCAAATGGAGTCAAATCGTTGATATTACTTTAGATATTATTAGGAGTACTATATAAGCGTCCGTGTTTTTAGTAGATGCGCTTTATATTTTGACATCTGCTTCAAAAATATTTCAGTTTTTTTTTTTTTTTCAAATACGCAAAAGACATAAAGGAAAAAATTTTATTAAGTTATCAAAACAATGCGCATTTAACTTTTGTTACACTTTTTTTTTTTTAATGAATTGTTTAAACTAGGTAAGAGTGCTATTATGGTAAAAAAACTGTATGATTTAAGTAAACGAACCCGGTAAAAATAAGCAATTTTCACATCTTCAGTTCGTTATAAATTCCAATATACGTTTTAAAAAATAAAAATTACATGCTAACATAGATTATTTAAAGACTTTTCATTTGATATATAACTGATATTTTATATTGATATAGCCCAACGGGCATTTGTTTTTAAAAGTTACGTTTTAAACGTCTTTTAAACGTTCTTTACGTAAGAATGTTTAGAAGACGTTTAAAACACATTTTAAACATATTAAGAACGTAATTTTAAAAACAAATGTCCGCTGGGATTGTAAAGAAAAGCCAGCGCGATGGGGGTGTGACCCCCGCCCCATCAATGGTTTTTTCGTTCATTTAGTCGGCAAATTTGACCTTTTTTGACTAGTTAGTCAGCAAATCTAGACCCTTTCAACAAGTTAGTCGGTAAGTTTAGACAGTCATTCGGCAAATGTCAATTTGTCGGTAAAAAGGCAGTCGGTAAATTTTAAAAAACAAACTAGTTAAAGAAACTAAAATTTTAAAAGTTTTGTGAACGCAGCAATTATTTGTTTCTAATACAGCATATTGTACTTTTGCGTTACCATTTATTCTCTGGATTGAGAAACGGTTTTTGACATGATCGAAACATTAGCTTTAAAACTATTAAAAAATTAATCAACAAAACCTTTAAGAAAGGTAAACTAGGCGCTTAAAAATAAACTTTTATGGCCGCCCAAATAGTGATGACATTGTCGTAGCTAACCTTTTTAGCCAAAATCTTCTTTAATCAAAATAGTCAAATACCCGTAACGCGATCCTGGCCCATGGTCAAAGGAGAGAGTTTTTTACAACTTTTAGTTTACTAAACGATTGTTCAACCTCAGCAACTGACTTAAGAATAGTGTTGAAAAGCCGGAAAATGATACAACTGTATGAAAAAAAAGCGTTCATGCTTCAAGATTAGATCGAATATCGCGGATATTATTAAAACGGCAGACTTCTTTAATAAGAATCTTTTTGTTTACATCTCTCAGATAAAACCTTGCATACTTTATTTTAAATAGAAAGATTATCATTATCCAACCAGACGAATGAAAACATAATGCCAACCATCCTTCTTATCTCAAATCTTGAATCAATATGCTAGATCAATCATCATCTAAAGCAACATTAAAAACGTTCACATTAAGTTCTTTTGTTTGGCTGAAGTGGAAATGGGCTGTGTTTGATGCCTCATCGTAAAAGTGTTTTAGCTTACGCTTTTCTTTTGTAGCGAATTCAGCTTCGAATCCTAGCAAGTCAGCTACAATTACAGCCTCTTAGAAAATTTGAAACTAAGTGTCCCTAATCCGTTTAAGATTGACAAGCAGCTGTCCGATCAAATGTAGATCATCATCAATGGTAATGGCTGTAGATTGTAGAAGGCGACTAACAGCTACTCGCTGGTCAAACATAGATTTTCACAACATTTTTAAGAACTGCTAACATTTCTCTTGGCAAGTGGTTTGATCAAGTCGATAAGAGAGCTCCATTTTATCATAGAAAGTCTATGCATTGAAATCCAAGTTGCTTCAGTGAGAATCTTCTATTAAGAAAAATTTGCAATAAAAATAAGTACCAAGGTTCGGTATTTTTAAAGAATAATTTGATCTCAATAACTGATCCAACTGCGTACACATCAGCCAAATTTAGATTGTGAGCACTACCGGGAACGTACAGAGCATAATAAATTCGCAAAATATTTTAACTTATTAAGGCTTGAGCTTCTTTTTAAGCATCTGACATAATGGTCCTATTTTCGTGTCTCTGACCGACATTTTTGAACATCCATTCTCAGCCAAAAAACTGCATTAGTGGTTAGTTTAGCTATATTAACTTCTTTCTTCATCTGAAAAGTTTCAAAAAATAAGTATCGTTCTTTGATTTTCCAGTAGTTAATTTCTCTTCCATAGAGGAGAAAACAAATAACAAAGATTATCTGCTGAGTATGAGATATATTAGGGGTACAATCGACTATGATTGTGAAGTAGATACCATTCTGGATTTTTTGAGAGCTGCACTTTGGATGACACCATCATATTCTTTGATGAACTCGTTTTTAGACGATGGAGGTTATGGGCACTCGTTCTGTAGCCCTCTTGTTGGTGGTGTTTTACTTTTTCCAATTGGAATGCAATGAAGGGTTTGTGGCAACCAATAAGCTCCATTCCAGTACAAAAGTTCCCATTCTTTTTTACCATTTAGGTGTGTTTTTTCACATGCAAACATAGTTGAGGTAAAAAAAACATAATTGTTGTAATAATTTATTTAAAATCAACAACTCTAATTAAATTATTACAACAATTATATAAGTAATTGAAGTTGTTATTGAGAAAACTTTAAATAATTTATCTAGAAAAGTTAAATTTCTAGAAACCACAAAAATAGTCACATCCAAAGATCAACGAAGAATTGTCCGCAAAATAACTGTGTGGTAAGACGAATGTGTGACTCTTTCCAATCCATGTAAAATATTAAGTGCAGTGGGCTGGATTGATGCTGCTTCACACGATTTATGAGTTTCCTCCATTGATCCCTAGCTCCTCTGTTCTAACGAAGAAGGGACAATTACCTAATTTTAAAAACTGCTTTTGGGCTGGTTTTTTTTTTTTAATAATTACATCTTGATCTTTTTGACTCAAAACAACTGGCCACAAAGAGGGGTTTGCAGTAATTATTACCGAGTTCACGTTAAACATCACGTTCTCCACAGTAAGATAAAAAGTTTCTCGCTCTGACTCTTATGATTAACTTTGAAATTCTTTTAGCTCAGCTTTAGGGAAATTTTTTGAACCCCCTTCTGATCCACAGCTCTTCAAATCACACATATTGAATGTAGTAAATTACACGTATTGAGTGCAGCAAAGATGCAAAAACTCAATTATTTGATAACTATTCGGGTACTGGTAATAGCAAAGTTGCTTATTCGCCTAAAAAATGCAAAGCTATGATTCTTTTGCTTTAAAATCAAATACTACCTAAAAGAGTAGCGCTTTTATCGTGAAATCGACAATAAATGTCTCATGTGTTGGTTTTTTTCGCAAGAAGTTGAAGTGAACCCATGGAACGCATTACCAAACGAAGTTTTCAGTTCTATTGGTGTTGACTGCTTCAAAGCGATATTTTATCAGTTACCATTATAACTACCACATTGCATCATCAAGCATGAGCTAGCATTGCTAACTGTTCACAGACTTACGGAATACGCCCGCTTCCGTCTAATAGGGTACCGTTGCGGTTCTAAAAATAGATTTTTTCAAAGCTTTTTGGGATCGAAATGCGGACAAACATTGCACAGAAACAAAAAAAATTCTTAAAATTGCTAGTGATTGTGGGATTGATATTCGGCCAAACAAACAATTTGACGTCACCAAAACGGTACCCTATTCTACTTCAATAAATTATAACTTTTTCGTAAAAAATAGTTTATAATTAATTATAATAATAGAATTTAAAGTTTAAATTATTTTTTTTATGAGCATTTTTTTTCCGAATACTAAAGTTTTAATCTCAAGTACAAAAACTAAACAGATTTCAAACTGTCAGTCATTAAAATATTTAATATTTATTGTAAAAAAAAAATTAAGAAAGTAAATAAATAAAAAACCAACGGATTGCCCGGCGCCCCTTAAAGCTTGACGCCCGGATCAATTTGCCCCCTTTGCCCCTCCCTCTCGAAGGCCCTGATGACTTGTAAACAAGACGAACTTTGACTTCTACACAAAACCATTACAAGTATGACACTTTTAGAAGTATCTTAAATGACGCTTTTAAAACGAACCATGTTTCCAAATTCTAACAGCTTTCAAAGATTAAAATCATCA